ATACTCGTTGATCTAATCAAAATATAACCATCAATGGAATGGCTATAGCATCTATCTCCTAAGAACAGAGACAGTAAAAACCTTTAAGAATGTTTTGTAATTAATTTTTTTAAAGAACAGGGAAGGTTAACAGTACATTTCCCATCACCTGACACTTTAAGTTAAGATGGGCAGTGGCTGGGAGATGTTACTGGCTTGGATTCAGCAATTTCTAGATGAGATTCTCTGGGCTATAAAATACAGGAGCTAGGGCCTAGTGAGCATGACAGTCTCCTCTGCTCTTCAAACCATACAAAAAATAGTATGTATGGAACTGAATGGTTTCTCTCCAAATACAGTCAACTGCTTAGTGTAGCCATGAGATGTCAGCAGAGACCGCTGTTTCTGTGCAAACCATTATAAAATGGAAAAGGTCTTTTAAGTCAGAGCATTCGAATTATGATTACTAGCAATACAAACACCGAAGTGGGATGTGACCCAGCAGTATATACTGCCACTGCGAATATGCATCCAAAGATTGAATGTGACAGTGATATGGCTGCTGAAAGGACTGGCAAAAAGGGAGGGAAAAGATTGAGGGCCTAGTTAGGGTTAAAGCTGATGTGTAAAACGTAGAAGCTATTACAGTAAAACAGCACTATAATGTTTTAGTAAAAGTAGAAAGATCTAATGTTTTGTGACCTAACTAGAATGCAATCCAATAGTTAAACACTGTAACCTAAACCAGGGATGGCTAAAACTCTGTGGATTGAACCTGCCTTCAAGGTACTTTCGTCTGGCCTCCAAGAACATCTGACCAAATTCCTGTGAGCTTGCATTTGCTGGGCTAACAATTGTGCCCAAACCAGGAGTACAGAGGCACAGGGGAGTCTCTTTTGAGCATGGTTATACCAATTCTGGGGACAGTTTGATTCTCTAGTACAAAGCCAGAGCATTTGTTCCAACCTTTTTGGTCCTGAGCTGGGGCAATTTAGTCTGTTAATTTGAAAATGACAGTCAGGAGGCCAAGGGACATGTGTTTTTTACTGATATATCTTGGCTAACTATGAACGGCTTTGCTGCAAGGGATTTACAAAATGAACCAGAGAAAAGGATATCCGTACTTATGAAGTAGGCTCAGATTTCTTCAGATTTTGTTTTTCAGTTTTAAATAGTTCGAGGCCATTGGATTTCATTTGCAAAACAATGCAAAACAAGTGATAAAATTGGAGACCAAGATTACTTGGTGTCAATCAAGCTTGGGAAAATCTGTGTCTTTTGGATCTATCTCATGGGCCAGTTCCAGTTTCCCTTAACAGCTTCAGTGGGCAGGCCTTGCTGTGGTCACCTTAGCAGAGAGGTTCTGGGCAGATTCTGGCTCTCTCCCTCTGCTGACCAACTAGGCATGGACAAAGCATGTCCTGTTTGGTCTCCAACCTGCCATCCTTTTAAATTTGGAAGGAGGAAATTATGAATCACACATGTCTGCATAGAGTCAGTCAGGTCTATTGGCTTTGGACCAGTGATCAACAAATGCATGGAGCTACTTTAACTGAAGCTGTGTCTGAACCAATAATGTCCCCTTGGTCATCAGAGGTGGGTATACAGAGACATCCAAGCTGCCCTGCAGGAGCCAGCTCAGGAACAGCACGGACCCAGACTGAATCCTCGTGGTTTCATGTCTACGTTATATTCACCAGCATCTTCTCTAAATATCTTGTATATCTACAGTTTTCTCACCCTCGAGGATTCCTTTGACCTCCCCTATCCTTCTCTGCCATCCCTCAAGGAAGCCTTTAAATTAGTGACTAGTATTGGCCAGTAGCTCTGTGCACTCTACCCGCTAAAACAGTACTGCTCTGCTCAGTACATCTGTTTTTCTTCACTTTAATTGTGGCCAATTACCTATGAGTTTGCAATTCACCAGAAAGCAACAGGAACAGTCAGTGTCCTCATCTCAGTAATGCATTTTGGGGAAAATACAGCGAAGAACTGGGTATTAAATAAACATTAGTTTCAGTAAGAGGAAGAAGCTGGTAAGGTCACTTGTATCAAATTACATAAAGTCCTTTCCAGTCCTTTCTAGCATAATTCCTCAAAATGTTCAAGGCTTATTTGACTATTCCAAACCATCTTTTTTTCTTTGTATTCAGAAGGAATTTCAGAGAAATTCAGGGGTTATACAAATTTACAGGAGCAGAAGATGCTCCTTATTACCATTGTGCCAGATATTGCAGGAAGCCAGAATGAGAAATTTAGGAAAGCCATGGAAATGAGAACTGCTCTAATTCAATAACAGATACATTTGCTTTCTAATTAGGGTTGATCGCTTGAGTATTTTCTATCGTAGCTGCATAAGTATTTTATAAATACCTACCACATGTGACACAGGCACTTCAAAAGCATCATATAAACTGTAGAATAGATCTGCAGAGAAAGTTAAAGAAAAATATATATCTTAGTTCTTCCATGTCTTTGTAAATAATTCCCAGCTCTGAGATGTCATTTTATTTAATTTTACAACATTCAAACCCACTGTAAAATAACATCTGTAATAAATACAAAAAAAATAACTCAGAAAATAACTCAGATGGTATTTTACTATTACACCTTACAGTAATGTCTGAGTAACATCATACAAATTGTATTATAAATAGTTTTACCAGCACCAAAACATAGAAATATTACATTTTACATAATTCACTTAAGCATATGGAATTTGGGCTACAAAGAATTTTTTTCCTGCCTTTCTTATAGAGCTGATTTGGTATGCTTTAACTTGTAAAATGACTCAATTACACAGTCCCAACATAAGGCAACATGGAAAATATGTGAAAAACAATGTGGGAGCAAGTGAGAATTACAAAATTGTACTGGCTATTCACAGAATTTCTACTGCTCAGTCTATTCAGGATTTCTAGCCTTATTTCATTCCAATAACAAGCAAGGTCTGCCAACTAAGGTCTTAGACTGGGATTCAGAAACTCTGGTTTCATATGACCTTGGGCAGTTTTTCTGCCTCAGTTCTCCATTCACAGCACGGTAGTAATAATGTTTCCTTATATCTCCAAAGACTGTAACCTCTTGGAAGCTCCCTGACGCTATTTTTTGTAAAGTAATTGGTACTGTGGGACTAAGATCAGAGCTGAGCTCAGTAAGAGTAAATGTGCAGTCTTTAACACAAGACACAATGATAAAATTGTTCTGATATTTAACAGAGGTAGGTAAATGATGCCCTTTGCACTACTGGAGGAAGTACAAGGGACTTGCGCAATGACACAGTGTGCCTTGCTGACACAGCTCCTGAGTCACAGTCTTGAACTGTAATATGCTGCAGTCCTCCAGAAACACATGATCTAACAGAAATTTAGTGGAGCTGTTAACAAATTCAAGTCTTTATCCCAAGCCACAGCAGTTGGGGAAAATTTCTTCATTAACTTCAGCGGGCACTGGAGTAAATTTTCTCTTAAACGCTATTACCTAGATGAAAAATTAATAAAGAAAAACTAGATTGCTTGGTACCTAAGATGAAACTCGGGTACCCTGTCTGTTCAGTTTTACTCAGCAGTTTTCAGCACAAGTTAAACATATTCTAGCACAAAGCGTGTTACTGACTTCATGAAAAGGAAACATCATCAAAATTGCTAAGTAAAAACTGGGAAATGCATCAGATACATCTTCTGCATTACAGAATTGAAAAAGCAGCTAGTAATAAGCTGGAAAAGATAAGTATGTAGCCTCAGCATCTGATAGATTGGGGCTGGCTACAGTAGTTAGTTAAAACATCTGGAAAAGCAGCTGTAGCTTTCTCTTGTTACACTGTTGATACAAAAATGTGAGAACACTCACCATTGCACTGCACTTGAGGACTTCACCATCATAGTCACTACCGTCTGCCGGATAACTGTTGCACTGCACTTGAGGACTTTATCATAGTCACTACCGTCTGCCGGATAACTAATATCAAGTTATTCACAGTATCTAGGCCTTATATCCTTTCATTTTATCACAGCACCAAAGCTCATTTTCAGAAAATGACTCATTTCTTTGTTTTCACCCTACAAGTAATGATTTTTGGAAAGAGAACATGATGCTGTGTCTCTCCTTAGACATTACACATAGCTGACATGGATTAGGCTTCTGCGGTTCTCTGGTTTCTCAAATCATCCCATTTTTGTGTATTGTCACAAAGAAATAGTGTGATTGTGGTACAGGAGAGAGGAGGGCCTCTTTGGGGATACATGAGGGAAAAGAAAGATCCTATAAATACAGACGGTGCACACCAGAGTAAAGATTAGTATTACCTCACTAGATGTCCTAGCCATGCCCTAGTGCTGGGGATTATCGCTGGAGTTCTCCAAATATTCTGAAGTTCTTCCTATTCTGGATCTTTACTTCCAATTTTACTTTGTGCAACAAAACCACGTTAAGTATGCAATATTAATTGAGGATATTTACACCTCACACTCTCGCCCTGGGTTCAGGTGTATAGACATTATATATCTCTATGGTCCTCCAAAGACCACACTACCTACCACAAAGCAGCCATCTCAGAGCAGCTCTGCTGGTATAGGCTGCCAACATGACTGGAATCCTAAGCATACTTATTAGGAGTCTCAGAGGGCACACCAAAAGCTAAGTAGACCGTGCAGACTGGCCTGCAAGGTACTCTGAGGCACTTTGCTGGAACAGCAGAAAAAAGAAAAGAAAGCAAGAAATCTGTCTTGTTCTAAGCAATGAATGGAGATGTCTTATGAGCTGCCAGATGAAATTATTTTGGAAACACTAACGCTGCAATGTACTTTCTTCTAAAGTCACAAGGGTTTCCTTATTGACAACACTTGAAATGTTTTACTGATTTATCTTTGTGTTTTATAGCTAACTGTGAGAAGGGTTTATGGCAGCTGGCAAGATACTCAGTCACAGCCTTGCCACTTTTATTACCCCTAGTGACCAGATGGACCAAGCAATCCACACTTCTAGGCTCTGCAGGGTTCTGTTGTTGCACTGATACCTGTTGTTCATAACGCCTGTTCACGTCGCTGTTTCAGACCCACAACTCTTGCTGCCAGGAGAAACACAGCCCCGGTGAGCGCTTCTGCGACAAAGGAGATCCAGACTAGTGCCAGTGACCAGCCAAACCTGATGTCAATTTCTACCAGGAGATCCTTACTCCTCAGGAGGCAGACAGCTTCTTCGAAGGCAGCAGCTGAATATGCAATATAGACACTGATCCCAGTAAGTGTAACAAGAGCTGGGAAAGAAAAACATATTCAGCTAGTTAGCATCCACTGCAGAAATTAAAAATAATTAATTTGCTATCTCTCAGGGCTTCTTTGCCACTCCTTCCTATCTACCCAGGCCAGATTGCCAGTTAGCCTCTGTTTACCTTTGAAATCTAGTTGAGGCTGTTTTTTGGGGAAGAGTGAGAGAGAAGTAAAGGGAAGGTTATTTCTGTCCATTGAGTTTAGTGTGTTCTCACTGTTAAATACTGAATCAAAATGTATAACAGCAAGCCTCCCACAATAAAAATCTAGTCAGGTCTTTTACAGATATCTAATGCATGTACATCTCTGTTTTCAATACTGTATTATAATGCATCCTGATTTCTCACTGCTGTGCACCACGTACAGTTGTCTACCTCTATGCAAGAAAGCCCATGGAGACAGAGATTCTTGAATTTCAGGTCAGTGACCTGAATTTAGGCTGGTTTCTAATTTTGAGTATCATAAGTTTTGAGTGTTCAGTGTAAATGTGTTGGTCTTTACTGTCACCTCCCAACAAGTGTTGTGGAGTCATGACTATTCATCACTTCCAAATAATTGAGCCAAAGACACCCTTGGAGCAGACTAAAAATAAATTAATAAAGGCACTCAAACAAGAAGCCAGATGTTTTCAGAAAGAAAGGACTGTACAGAAGCTAGCAAACTTAAGGAATGGCACATCTAGCACAAGTGCATGCTACATCCTGGGCCTGGCATGTATGTCAGTCAAAGGACATACACTAACTTACGACTTTACTGGATCAGTGGCAGGAAAGATGCAACAGAAAGGCCCTGGATTAAAGGACTGTAGCCCAGGGAAAGTAGGTACTGGAACACTTGTAGGACAAGATAGTGTCTTATCTGATTCTGAGGGAGAAAAATTTTTGGTCTGGCTTTCTGTTAAATCACAGTGTAAGTCTAGATGAATCTGCATTTTTGCCAGAAAGACAAGTTTGAGTAAAGACAAACCAAGACAGAAGTGTATCGGGTTATCCAACAGTCAAAATTCATACTCATATTCCTGATTTTAACCATGCTGTGATGCCTGTACCTTATTCTAGTCCTCTGCAAGGGGGGAAAAATCACATCTCTATACCTTTTGTCAGCAGAAATGGAAATGACTGTTTTGTTGACATTTTCAACAAGGTACGCTGAGTTCTGTGATCCCCCTTAAATGTGGCCGCATTTAAAAAAAAACGGGGAAGCATGTAGCATATCCTGGGATCTGGAACATATCAGTTCCGGTATTTTCAAAAAAACTCAGGTTTCTGGAATTGCATCATAAAACATGTCTTTCAGCTGAGACAGAAATATCAATACCAAACTTTGTGAACTGGAATAGCCTATAAAACTGTGCATGCCCGTTACATGCATCAAGCCTCAGTGCAGCTGAAACAGCTGAACAATACCACCTGAGCGGGAGGAGGGTCTGGTCTCACACCAAAGGCCACCCTGCAGTCTGTTCGTGCTGTCCTGGGAAACAGCACTAGTTGCATCTTCAGAACATATCCAAGCACCCCTCTCCTAACACTGTCTTTGTGTTTCCTTTCCCTCTTTGCAACCCTAAGTGTCTCAGAAAGGCACAGTACTCCACCCCTCAGCAGGATAATCATGCTTTGCACTTCACAGCTTTTCATCTTTCACTTACTATTTGGAGTAGTTTTCAAATAGCCTAAGCCTTTTTAGTGAATACAGCTTTCTGATGTTCTAAGGAAATCGAAGTTACTTTTTTTTTTTTTTTCAGAAGAAAAGCATGAAGGGGGATGGTTAGTCTTTGTAAGAGCATTTCAGACTAAAAAGGTCAGTCGAGACTTTGAGACAGCAGCATTTGCTTCCAGCAATCTCTTACCATTCTCTTCTTAGAAACACAGGACTGTAATCAGGTGATGAGGGCCAACACTGAGGGTCCCCTTTTCTGTTGGGGAAAAAAGAATGTTTTAAGAAAATGGAATTTATTTTTTTTTTTTTTCATTTTTCACGAAGTTACTTTTTTTTTTTTTTTCAGAAGAAAAGCATGAAGGGGGATGGTTAGTCTTTGTAAGAGCATTTCAGACTAAAAAGGTCAGTCGAGACTTTGAGACAGCAGCATTTGCTTCCAGCAATCTCTTACCATTCTCTTCTTAGAAACAGGACTGTATGATCAGGTGATGAGGGCCAACACTGAGGGTCCCCTTTTCTGTTGGGGAAAATTTCTGTTTCAAGTTACATTGTGAAACAGTACTGAAAATCTATTTGGAGAAGAAAATGGAGATGGATTTAAACCCAGTTTTCCTACTTTGACAGAATGTTTTTAGTTTTAATTCATAAATTACTTTCTAAAACACAGAGGGTTTGGTTACAGCAAAAATAATAAAAAACAAAATGTAAAAGAATGTTACTAGCTTTAAATTGAAATGTTACACTCCAACTAAAATAACTCTTTGGGGTTTCTTTTTGTGACCCACAGTTTGGGGACATCACTCTAGTTCAAAACTAGCAGTGAAGCTAACCCAGGAATGCCTAGCAAGACCCTTTTCAGGAACATGCAAATGCCTTTGAAAAAATGTCAGTTTTCTTAATAGTTGTAAGATCTGTGCAAGGCTATCAAACCCTATGCTTTTACTAATTCCAAAGTCACTTCTCCATTACTCCATTACCCTGTCTGTAAAGAATTTGAGCACTGTGCTGAGAAGGTATTAAATCTTTTGTGTTAATGGGCACAGCAAACACATTGTGTTCAAAGTGTGACTCACTCCACAGGACATATGGTTGTGTGTGATTATTTGCCTTTCCTGACTCTAAGTGGCAGCTTTCTATTCCAGAATCCTGTCAGGAGCTGAGCAGACACCAAGTGAATGAACACCAGCATTATTCTGAAAGCAAACTCTTGCTTAGATTTTCCCCTGGAAGACAAAGTGGTGTTTCCCAGATATAATCTCTTATTATTTAAAATGGTTAAGCCAGGAGTTTGATATAGTACCTCCAAAAAGAAAAAGTAATCCCGTCATTAGAAGCAGCAGGTAGGCCCTGGCAAGAATGCTGATGAATCCAGTCATTCCTCCAAAAATCATCAATATCAGGCTGAGGGGCATCAGGATGACAAATGTTCCGTGCATGTCTGAAGAAAAATTAAGAAAGTTAATATTTCAATATTTTATTATGGTGTCATTGGATGTACTAGTAATTATTGAGTGCAGAGCCCCTGATCAGGATCAAAGCCTTATTCTGTGCTGCACAAACAAGGAGTCGGACAATCTCTTGGTTTTTCAGTTTAAGTTGGCAGGACAAATATATGGTATGGAGAAAAAGGTAACATACAGAGCAAGCCCTTCACAGGATCACAGCCTGTGTTTCAAACAGAGACCACAAATATAAAGGATATGTCTACACGGATATATTTAAGCAATTAAACTGTTCTCAGATATTAAGCCTAGCTGGATAACAGGTGATGCATTGCATATCAGGTAGTCACTGATGACCTTAATAAAAAGTAGCCCTGGTTATCTGGATCATACAGATCACAGTGCGTGGCATTGTTCCGTTTGGGTGGTGAGATCCAGCAGATGCTTTGGTTAAATGCTTTCTTTTCTGTCACGTGTCCTCTGCTGAACTGATCTAGCAAATTGTTGTCCTTTTCCTTTGTTGCAGCTGACCATCAACTAGAAGTAAATTTTCTCATCCAGCTCTGATTCTGTGTCTGTCATTGTTTTCTACAGCAGCTTCACTAAGGATATTAACCTATCCTGGTTGCTTCCTCCCATGCTAAATGTTTTACATTAGTCTTTATTGATCCCTATAACATTTTAATAGCTGTGTAAACAGAAGGTTGCTATGTATTTTTTCATATCACACTGTTTTTTCCATCATAAACCGTCTTTGTGTCATTGTTCCCTCTCATGCAATCTATCCACAACATTCAACCCAACCTTTTCTAGAATAATAACCAAAAAAAAGTAATTCCAGCTTCCAGTATCCATTTATTTCATACCAGAGTGAAGTGCTGAGTTACTGAGAAAAGAAAACTTAAAATCCATTTTCTGAAGGGCTCTGGGCTTCAGTGTCTCATTTAATTTCACAGAGGAACAACAATACACCATTACCTGGTAGGAAAAGGAGTCAGTTAAGAGATCACAGTTTGTGTATGATCAGATGATCAATTTTTTTAAGTCACTGTAACTGCCCACTGAAGTGGAAGTACTCCATGTGCCACTGGCTAAGGATCCAGCTTATCTTCTTCGATATCATTATAAAGATAAGACACAATTGTGTAGATATCTCTGTTCAGTTCTAGAACCTTGGAAGGTTAGGAACAGCCTGCATGGGATCAAGGCATGAGTGGAACGTGGTTTCAAGACATAATTATTTGTTTTGTGCAGTACAGAACATGCTCACAAGGAAAAATGCAGCAAGTGACAAAGCTTTAGGAGGTGACCCTATTGTTCTTTGATTTCCTTTTATTTATGCTGGTGTTATATTCTCATATTTAGTCCCACATATGCCCACATCAGGATAAGGTGATGCTCAGAAAGCACGAATTCAGCATTCCGCATTGAGGGGAACACTTCCTCTCTTTGCTACTAAATCAGAGGATACTCTGTGGGCTTTCCTTCAGCAAAACTGGCCATGGCTGCTGTTTCTGGCTAAGAAACCCAAACCTATAGCAATTCTCAGATGCTAACAGTCAAATTAATCTTCAGCTTACTGTGTATAAACCAGTATGTCAAAACTGCTAGTAAATCTTACTTGAATACCAAGAGGAGAAACAGGCATGGAACTTAGTTCAGGAGTTTTATACAGTTAGAAGTGGTTGTCAGGGATGTGATGTGACATGATGTGACAGAACAGAGAATTGGCACACAATTTAGTTCTAATATTCTAGAGAGGCAGCAGGAGCAGGCCAGTCTTCTGCCCTGTTTGTGCTTCCTGCAGGTATTAGGCCTGATTTTGATTTCCCACCATTTTGACATCCATGTGTCCTCTTAGATTTGGTCTTGCATGTAAGAGGTGAAGAAGCCTTGGGGGGAACAAAATCTGATGCAATTAACACTTTAAAACTAAGAATGTAAGAATGGTGCAACTCTGTCCTCAGACCTGGCTTTGCTGGGAGGGAAGAAACATAAACAAGGTCATCACCGGGCCTGTGCTTTGTGATTTTCCAGGTGTCAAAGTTGCTGCTAACAAACTATACCTCAGGACAGTAGCACCAACAGTTGCTGTTTCTTTGATTTTCCTTTTCATGGTGTGATTTCAGCTACTGCAGCTGGGACTGTAACCTTAGCCAGGACAAGTGCGGGTGAAGAAGATAAGGCTCTGAATGTAACCTTTTCTTTTGAAGCAAAGGGAAACAAATCCATGCAGGGGTATTCTCCAGGGGAGTGTCATAGATTACATTTCTATCTGTGACAGTTGCATGTAACATCAGAATAATTCTGATTTTTATGCTCTCTTCAATGAAAATACAGGTTTTAGGGATATCTCAGCTGAAACCCACAAATCCCACTGTGACAGAGCCTTACTTTTCCTACACACAGCTGGGATCACATTTCTCATAAATCATCTGCAGCTTTTTTAAAATCAAATATTTAATGGACTGTATTTGGTTAAACAGCACTTTTATCACCTCCAGTGTTCTAGTTCAATACCTAATACCCATTTGTCCTTCTTCTTTGAAATCTGCAACTGTCTGGGAAACTTATTCTAAAATGCTGCCATGGAAACCACTCACGAATCTGAATTCATGCCGTCTGGCATACGATATTATACCATTATATTCCTTGATTAGAGGGACAGAATTAGTTTATAGAAGGACATGACTTAAAATATCTTTACTGTGTTTCTGTCTTCAATAATCGTCTGCGAACGTAGTTAAAACACTGATTTGCAGTCATTTTAGTGTTTTTTAGCTTATGTTGAAATACATATTTATGCACTACGTATTATACATATAACTGTCTTCATTTTGATGAAATTAATCTAGTATTGAAAAAAAACCCCAACCTAAAGCATTTTGCACAAGAAGTATGTGCACTTTCCTGTAAAACAGAATTCAGTTTCCCACATCTATTTCTCAACGCCTGAGTTCCCTGTCAGTCCAACATGAAAGATCCAATAGTTTAATCAATACTGAAACAAACCGATGAACATTTAAAAAACACTCCAGTTTTTTCTAGCAAAAAATACTTTAATTGCTTGATCTGAGTTAATGAAGTTTTACATCAGGTAGCCAAAGCTGTTTTACTAGAGGTCTGACCAAACATCTGTAAGAATGACATCTGCAGTGTGTGTCCAGATCTGTGAATTTGGCAGACATTTCTAAATTGCCACCCAACACAGTTGTTGATGAGTTGTTTGTAACAGAAATTTGTGGAATGAACTAGAAAAATTGAATGGTGTCAAAAGTAACCAACTGCAGATCTAGCAGTTTTGTTAATCACCTCCTGTTAACATGCTGGAGCTTAATTGTTTCAAACTAACTTTGGATTTGTTTGCACAGCTTATAATAGCAAATAGTCTCTAGAAATCTGTAATAGTCACCTCATCAGAAATACTCCAAATGGCAGCAGCTCAGAAGAGCTTAATTAAGGACCTGTTTATCTTCCCCAGCAGTAACTAAATAGCCAGTTAGAACAACAAAAGCCTCTAGCTGAAACAGAATGCTGGCAGTAGCTAAAACCAGTGGGGTTGCTCTGGAAAGACTTGGCAAAGCCAGGAAGAAACAGTGCACTGAGAAAGCCTGACCTGCTTGCAAGGAAGGAATGAAGGAACCAACTTAGAGAAACAACGAGCAACAGAAAAGAACTGCTGTCTGTGGCTAAATGTGAGACTTCTGGGCTTGAACCCCAGGGACACGAAGGCCTGGGTTCCCTCCTGTTCAGTAGAGAAAAGATGATGGTGGATGAGAACTCACAGGGTTAGGGTACTCCAGGGTAATTAGCTAAGCTCTGGACTTTGTGTTACAGGTTTTGGCTTTGTGCTCCTCATGCAACAAGTCTCTGAGCTAAACTGGTAGACAAATTGCAGACAGTAGAAATAAAATGATGCTAGACTTGGTACAGGTGGGCACTGACAAAAACCTTCAATACTAGGAATGGGTAGAATGATAAACGTTAAGTGATGCACTGTGGTTCACATTCTATTCCTATGGCACCAATGAATTTGAAAATGAGAACATTCATCAGAAGTTGTCACTCATTAGGTCTCAGCTGCAGTGATGCTAAAGTTATCTCAGATTTCTGAATATATTTATGGTAATATCTACTGTAAGTACCAAAGCAACTGGTCACAAAACCTCTTTGAAGGACCACTGCGCTGTTGCTCAGAAACAAAGCAGATCCATTTAGGTATACACCTACCATATCAATTAAGTTAGAATTTCTATGTACATCATCTGGGTCCTATTTCACTTGGCCTCTGAACTGGCTCTTGCCAGGTATTCCAGCCCTAGCTGTTTCCTTCTGATAACTTAAAATCAAAAAGAAAAATTGTGAAGAACTGTAAATCCACCAGGAAAAATGTAATGGCAGCCAAAGAATAAGGCATTCTGGGATTAGGAGCAGGAGTATAAACATGTAACTCAGTAAAAATAAAGCAGGCCCATAAAGAGTGGGGAGAAGTGTGAAAGCAGCTGGCTAGTGACTGTTTGTCGTGGTTTAACCCCAGCCGGCAACTAAGCCCCACACAGCCACTCGCTCGCTCGCTCCCG